CATTCTTGGGACTTCCCAAGACTGAGGCAAGGCTAGTGGCAAATCTCAAGATGGGGGATCTTTGAAATGAGATGCGTTCTCAAAGCATCATGCCTGCTGTTGACACAATCTTTTCAGAGCTTGGCAAAAAATGTGCTGGCCCAGCCGTGTAACTGTCATGGGTTTTACTCTTATTGTTTCTGGTTTTCTGCATGTTTGGGAAAGAATCTGTTCTGCTTATTTATAAGCTGAAGAGGCTCACAGCACCCATCTAACAGCACAACAAAGCTCTCGCGGATACTCACTGAGTAACACGTCTGAAGCTTTTCTTCAATGTCCTCATGTTCATAGTCAAGGATTTCCTGCAAGCTCCTTGTTAGCAACAGGAAACAGCAAAGGCATTTTTGGTAAAACAATCACAACATTTTGTCTGGGAGGATTCAGGGCAAGGAAAATCTTACTGCTGGGGGAAGGAAGAACTCTGTCACTGGAAAACACTCAAGGGGTCCGACCACTAATCTTTGGGTGATTAACTGACGGGTGTGATACAAGGACTATTTTCACCCCTTGTACAAACCATACCCTCTATAATACGTGTTGAAAACAGGGAGTAAAATAGAAGCAAAATAGTTCCCAGAGCTGCTACAGAGCATTGAATGGGTCAAAATTAGCTTGCTGAAATAGCACAATCCTTCTGATGCTTTGTAGCAGCTTTTGACACCATTTTATATGCCCCCCCATTAAATGCATATTTTGGGGTTTGCTGGGCCTCAGATGGTGGCAGAAGGGGTTGCACAGGCCACTTGTTGCCTACTCTGCCTTCAAACTATGGCAAATAACTGATGTTCAAGCACCTTTGGCGGCCATCAGTTGACACAGGCTACATGTTAGATTCCCACAGCCACATGTGAAAAGTGCAAGTTAAAGACCAACCAAGTGACAGGCACCCATCTGGGGAAAACCAAGTCAGTACATTTTCAGGGGAAGCTAAAAGAAACCTTTGTAAGTTGAGGTTTAAACTTATTACCTGTGGGTTGGTTGAGGGGAAAATCATTTGGGATATTTTGGACCCAGAACGAGAAATGTAAGCCATCCTGAGACATTGCTGTGAAGGACGGGATAGAAATATTTCAAGCAAGCAAGCAAGCAAGCAAGCAAGCAAGCAAGCAAGCAAGCAAGAGATTAGACGGGATAGAAATGTTTTAAATAAGCAAGCAAGCAAGCAAGCAAGCAAGAGACTAGGCATATTGATTAGGTGTTGAAGCTACTTACTTGCCAATGGCAGGACTCAGCTCTTTCAGATCATCGAGGGAGGGTTTCTTGCCAACCAGCTTTTTAAAGGTAGCAAGTGGGAAAGGCACATAGGCAATGACTCTGTTGAACATGCAAAGTCCACAAAGGACCCCAAAGAGGAAATATTTACTCTTGTCTAATGAAGGCTACAATGACAAAAGATAAGAGAACAGAAAGTCACTCCAGAAACTACAGGGCAGCTTCAAATGCTCATCCTATTGATGAACCACTACTCAAGGTCCACACAGCATCAGCTTTCCTAACCTGCCGCTCCACAGATGCAACAATGAGCATTATAATCCAAAAGTAGTCAGCAAGTCTACTGGTCAGGAGTGCCATGATTCATGGTCCACTGCATCTGGAGAGAACCAGACTGGGAAGGCTACTATGGTCTGTTCCAGCCTCCGCCCAACTGAAAATGGGATGGTGCTTGTAAGCAAGGCAAGCACACCCAGTGGCTGAATTCACACATAACAACAAGCCAGACCAGGAATGGGTTATCATCATGTGTGAATCCAGGAAGCACAATGCAGCAAGGGGAACAAGAAGGTCTCCATCTTTCAGCATGGCTTGTTGTGATGCGTGAACTCAGTTGCAATGATTTTCCGTAGTTCTTGCATTTCTGCCATAGAGTTTGACAGCGAGAGTGGCTCTGGTGGTGGCGGCGGCAGACACTCCAGCCTCCAGTTTTTGTTCTCCTGTTCTGCCTAGCAACTGCTGGGGCAGCTGCAGCCATGCTCTGATTGGCTGCCTCACACCGTTTCTTCCCCTCTGTCTGCTTGCTGCCTTCCCCATGGCCACCCACAACTCTGCAATATGGATGGCACTGGGGCATTACGGCACACTGCCTCCAGCAGCAGCAATGGCACAGGGAGCACACAGGCTGTGCGTGAGCATAGCCACCTGGGGTAATCACCCGGAAAAGCCCACGGCTCCCTCTCTCCCCACTCCTCACCACTTCTACCTTGCCCCATAACCAGCCCCCCAGCCCCAAATGGTGCAACAAGCACCTTCCTTGCAGCCAAGCAGAAACCTTTCAGGTGTCTAGGTGCACCTGATATGAAAGGAGGTTACTGGTTACACAACCCGAATTCCACAAGTGTTTGTGGACCTCCTCTTGGTTTGGTTGCTTTCCAAGACCAGGCCGAACACGAGGTCTGTGACTAATAGAGGGATAGATTCCAATAGTGTGCATCCCAACCCTAACCTAAACTTCCATGCACACCTTTTCTGAAAGGTCAAAGTGCAGACCTACATGTATTGGGGTTTTATGTCCTCGTGGGAATGACCAGTGGCCCAGATGTGGGACAAAGACGGTTGATTGACAGAGCAAGTGGGAGTGGGTGCCATCTTGAATAGCCCAGATATTTATGTAAGCTGGGCCCACATCTCACATGCTTACCCTTGGAGGAAACCACACTGGGGAATTCTTCTCACTGTACATAAACATTTTGTACTCTGGTCGTATCATCTTCTCAAATACAAGGAGAAAGAATTCCGACAAAATGCTTCCAGCTTCATACACAGGCATCTCTCCTTCAAATTGAATCTGCAAGAAGACAATAATTGTATTGACCCCACAAAAGAAAGAGGAAGAAAACAGAGGCAGAGGTTACATCGAGCTCATAAGCGGAGGACCTTCTTTCATACCTTTATTTCTGCACAAGGGTAAATTTCTTGATCTAGGAACCTGGAGTATTGTAACACTTACCAAAGTCTGCTTAGAAAATAACTTGTGAATTCCTTCACCAAAAATACTGTGTGGATTACAAAATCAATCAAACAAACAAAACCGGAAGTGATCAGTGCATTCCACAAAGGAAGCTTTTTTTTAAAATCTGCAACATTAAAAATATGCAGTCAATATTTCCAAGGATATGTTCACATATTTAGGATTTGTGAATGGCCTGGAGAACTTCAGGAACTGAGTGGCATAGAAATAAATGTACATTATCCTCCATGCAAGATATTGTTTCCTTAAGCATTAAACGTACTATATTCTAGAACATATCCAATATATTTCATGGGTGTAATAGAGGATTTACTACTTCTAGCAGGAGGGAAATAATCTACCCACCCCAATGGACCAGGCACTGCTGTTTCAATCTTTTTAATACATTGCTTTTAGTCTTTTGTTTTCATCTCTGTACTGTTACCTGCTCCATAACCTGCTTATAATTAAATAAAAACAAGAAATAAACTGCACACCTGATAAATACTGATACCGATTCTTTGTTCCCATCCCCCTAATTCCCACTCTCCCAAGGGCTTCTTGGGGGTGCAATTCCCTCTAAGGACAAGTTAGCATCCCAAAGCTGAACAACCAAAGGGTCAACGAGTAGCTAGCCTGTGCTACGTTCCAAAACCGGCCCTCTAGACAGGAGGTGGGCCCTCTGAAATTGAGCATTTGCCCTTTAACGCTTTGATCACTATTCCCCCAAAGGATGCCAAGCATACGCTCAAACTCTTGGCCAGCTGCATGCCACGCTAGAAGGGCTGTTGGCCTGAGCCTGACCAACAATGCAAGCTTGGACAAAATTATCCCAAAGAAAGTGCACGGGGTCCAAAGGGACTTGCTCCCAGGTGACCCTGGGTAGGGCTGTGGCCAAAAGTCACAGCCATGCAGTCCAGTAGTCCTAGGGTGTAGCCTCAAGCGGCCCCGCAGAGCAGCACCCACAGGTCCTTGCCAGCTCACCACCAGCAACTTTCTCAGGCAGGAGTCCTCCACCTGGCTCAGTTTGTACAAAGCGTCTTCCACAAGGTTGTGGCGTCGCACTTTCAAAAAAAGCCTGGTGGGTTTTGGAAGTTCACTCTGTTTCTGCTGTGAGTAATTTTGAACTGCCAGGATTCCTTTTTCCTCTATGATCTGGAAAAAAGTGAAAGCAAAGGAGGGCTGGATAAACCGATCCACTTGGTCACTACTTGCAACAGATGAGTGCACCCCTGGAACGTGGCCCCCGGATTTGTCCGAAATGCAATTCAGCCCGCGGCCTGAAAGACCCCTTGGCTGGGCCCGCCCCAAGACCCCCCACTGCCGCATTGTCCCACATGCACGTACCAGGAAGGTGGGCAAGCAGAGGAGCGCTGCTGAGCAAGCAACTCGTGATCCCTCACTGCTCCCCTGCAGCAGTGCGTGAGGAATCAGTTCGGGGGTGGGAGTCAGTCGGGCGTCCTCAGCCCCGTTCGTGCGGAGCGTCCGTGTGGGCACCCAGCAGGAAGCGAGGCCGAGCAAGGGCAGCTTGTCTGCACGCTGCCCACTGCACAAGCAGAGTTTTGCTCCCACCCCTGTGACTTGGGGCCTTTGGGTCCTTCGCGCAAGACGGGGGACACTGATGTTCAACCTAACCATGGTCAGAAACAATTATGCAGAAAATTCCTGGGATAGAGCACAGGCATGGTCTCTCCACAGACAGCCGTGTGGAGACCATTCCCCTTCCTGACTGTTGTGTACCTAGATGACTAACGGGGGGGGGGGGGGGGAGAAGCAACCTGAAGGAGGCCTAAAGATATGTATGGCTTTCCCACTTTGTGGGGTTCCTGAACCCCTAACCCCCACAAATGTGGAGGGCTGACTGTACAGTGTATTGTGTTTGCTACTATCCACTGTTTCAGGCATCCACTGGGGGGCTTGGAAACTATGCCCATGGATATGGGTGTCCTACTGCAGTGGCAACAAAATGAAGGCACAGGGAGTGAGCACAGGTGCACACCAAGGCATTGCTTTAGAACCGGAACTGAGATCACAATCCTTTCAAGCAAAAATCTGCTCCTTGTTCCACACTCCTACCTTCCCATATTTTCAGCTGCCTTATTTAGACCTTCCCGTGCCCATTCATTCCCATCCTGAACAGATCTTTGAACAAGAACAACTAGAAGGCAGAAGACTCTGGCTCAGGCTTCAGCCCATCCTGGGGCTGATGGGGCTTGTCATCCAACACTTCTGGAAGGCAACCAGGTTGGCTGAAGGTTGAACTGGAAGTTCTACTGCAAATCTTCCCGCGGTCTACCTCGTTCCACCCTAGCCGCCTTATCCCTTACCCTTTGAACAACGCTGGAGTACCAGTAGAATATTTGCTTCTTGGTCACTGGACTGAAGACAAAAGGAAAGTAACAGAGACAGACGGCGTTCTCATTTAAAACCTTGTAAAGAAAGAACAGTTTGTGTAATTAGATTACAAATGTGCTAAGTCAGGTAGACTTTCCCCTTGTCCAACTGGCAAAACACACCCAACATTTTTTTCTGGCAAGGAGAACATGATGCTGCAGCTCTGACATTCGCCAGGTGAGTTTGCATCACGGTGCTACCCAACGCTTGGTCTCACCAGTAAAAATTGGCACATGAAAGGTATCTTTTTCCTTTTCAGGAAGCCAGGAGCAAGAAATCCCAATGTGCTTTTTATTAGTCAGATGCTGCTATGAATTCAGATGAATTAATAAAGAGCAGAAAGTTGTGCTCTTGAGTATGTAGAATGACATGTTTTAGTTAGGGTTAATACAAACTGACCAAAAGTAAAACAGGATGATTGAAGTTGGTGTATGAAATATTTACTTATTACTTTTGATTACCATCAATATCTGAAGCTCGTGGAGCAGTTTGCAAAAGTTAACACCTTAAAACAAAACTTAAAATTAGATCCCCATGGCAATCTTGGGCTGCACTCTGGTCAACTAGGCCTGGTGGTCAAGCAGACCACGTGTATGTGTTGAGAAGGCAATTACTACACATTCTGGAGAAGACTCAGAATGTAGTGAAGCCCACCTATCCTTGATAAACAGACACGAACTACATCATAGGTTATTTATCACATTTAATTTCAAAGATAACTGTTATTTGGCGCATCTATGATAATTGCAGTTTGCTTTCTGAAGTTAATTGTACAAGTTTCTATTTCTCTCTGTATAACCAAAGAATACTACAAAAGCAGAGGTCATTTCTGTTAGGAAATGGTTGGACTGGCTCAATGGCCTCTCCTGCAATTGGTGATGTGCCTGTTTTAAACCTACTCACTTGGATAAACCTAAGCACAGAGTGAAGGGGGTTTTTTCCTTCCACAGTGCCTTGCCTACTTTTCTCCACTGCCCGGCTGATTAGTGAGCAAAGGGATGGGACAACCTCCCCTTCCAGAAACCCCAATGGAGGGACCCTGGAAAGGGACACATGTGTTCATATGCACACGTCCAGACACTGATCCCGTCTGCTGCTTGGAAGTGGTATTTGCAGGCCAAAATGGCTGACTCTGCTTCCAATTTAACCTGGCAGCGTCACTCTTAAGCAATGGCAACATTCCTGAGAAATCTGCTTCTAGTCCCCACCTTGGGCCAGCCACAGACCCTCAGCCCCAGTTGCTTCTCAAGCTGCTGTTGTAAGGATAAAATGGAGCTAAGTAAGCAACTCTGAGTTGCTCGCAAGAGGAAAAAGGGTGGGATACGAATATAGTGACTCCAACCGCTGAGAGATGCTAGGTACTGAACCCGAGACCTTGTCCAGCTCTGGTCAGCCGTGTGCAGGGTTCATTAGCCTGACCACCTGCACTTTCATTCTCAACCTGGAGGCAACATGAAGCAGTGATACTTACACCTTCGGCCCGGGCATTCCATCTTTGCACATCTGTAAGCACATTAATCCTTCTATAGATTTCATCTATGTAGAAGTTGCTCACTGGCAGCTTGTTAGCAGCCACCTTGTTTACCTGGAAGGAAAACAACTTTTGCATTCAGAACCATGTTTCCCAAAAGCAAACAGATAGTGAGAGAGGGAGAACTCTCAATCCACACTGGCAATTGATGGACATCCCTTACCTTGTATAGTCTTTTAAGCACTTCGAGGGGAGGGATCACTTCCTGGTACTGGGAGCAGGTGCGGTAAAAACACAGCTGAGCTAACACGGCCTTCTTAATCATCTGAACTATCCGGTCTAAAAATGATTCTGGCAACAATGACCAATATTCCTCTGAAAAAAGGAGGTACATTCAAATCTTCCTACTTTAAGGAATAAAGCTGTTAGCAATCGTAAATCAGTAGAAAAATCTATTCACTGCCTGACTGGGTGTTGTTGTTAGTCACGAAGTCGTGTCTGACCCATTGTGACCCCATGGACAACATTCCTCCAGGCCTTCCTGTCCTCCACCATCCCCTGGAGTCCACCTGAGCTCACACCAATTGCTTCAGTGACTCCATCCAGCCACCTCATCCTCTGCCGCCCCCTTCTTCTTTTGCCATCTATTGTTCCCAGCATTAGACTCTTCTCCAGGGAGTCCTTCCTTCTCAGGACTGGGTGTTAAATCAAACCAAACATGGAGTCAATCAGGTGACTTTGGGCCAGTCACAGACTCTCAGCCCAGCCTACTTCACAGGGTGGTTGTTGTGGGGATAAGACCCAGGAGGAAAGGCTGGCAGTTGCTGCCATTGGTCCCTACCACATCCTCCAACATCCGCAATTGTTTCACTACCTAATGATAGGGTGGCCCATTGTGAGTAATATTAAATGGGCAAAATGACAGACTATGCACCTTGAGAGGAGAGGATGAGGAGGAGACTGCAAAGCTGCTCCTGATTTCTAAGCCATGGTTTTTGGATTCTGGGAAAGGGATGTCTAATTTGACCCAAGGCAAAAGACAACGAGATTGGAGTCCTCTTTGTACCTAGAATGCTTACCTAGAATGACTGAAGATCGCTTGTGCAAGCCAGTGACAGCTTTTGCAAAGTGCACACCCAAACTCTGCACATTTGAGGATTCAAGGAATCCTATCATGCATTCAGGGCGTAGCTGGAGAGAAAGAGCCTCCATGCATTCGGCCAGCAGAAGGAAGACAGAAAAGGCTTCTTTGTGAAGAGAATTCAGCGGGAGAGCAGGAATGAGGCTGTTTATCAGTGAGTCAGTGATCTGCAGCCAATGGGAAAAAGAACACATTCAGCTGGGGACGGATTGCAATGCACCAGCCCGCCCGCCCCTTTCTTACACGTGATTCCATGAGGCCCGCAAAGGCATGGAATAGAGCAGAATCTCACTGGATGTCCACCTCTGATCTCAAGCCATATGTTCCATATGTACAAATCAAGGGCAGGAGCGTTAGGGACAGGTGAAAATCTTGTCCAAGTTTGCAAGTTCGCAACACCAAATACAAATGCAAGCTGATTATATTCTCTAAAGAATGCCCATGCATTAGCTACTTAATGTCTGTACTCAAAAAAGCACATTTTAAAAATCTTTTTAAAATGTGCATTTTCAGTGTACTTAAAAAAAAAAAAAACACGTGCTTCTCCTGTCAAAAATGCAATCTCCTTATTCAAGCTAAACAAAAAAGAGGGCAAATACAGGAAATAAGCTGATTTTCAAGATGGCCATTGCGTAAGTGCAGGCACACACAAAACCCACTCCTTCCTTCACCCCTAGTTTCTGTGTGGGTGGGAAGGTCCGCATGGAAAGATCTAAGCATGTTCTACTGCATATCTGCAGAAACTACATTCTAGATCAAGATACTAGTTATCTTAGAAGCATATAAACCATGGGCATAGAAAGCGTTTTTGAACCAGGGGCCAAAGTGACGCTAGACAAGCACACCAATGGATGCATGCAAGTAAAGGTTGGGCCCATTAGTGCGCCTACCACACTGCTGGCACATGGTCTCCAGTGTCATTGCTCAAACCGCATCCACACATCAGTTTTCTCTCTCCACTCATATCCCACCTGGTTCCAATCAGTACTTTAAGCTTCCATGGGTACCCATGGCAGCTTTTGAAAAATTTGAAAATTCAGGGGATTTCTTAGGAGGGTTACAGCTTTTAGAAGAAGATAGCTAGCCCTCCACTCCCTAGCAACCCTCCAAAAATGTCCAAATATATAGTTCATAAATGACTATAATCAGCCTTTTTAAAAATCTCCATTGACACCTACTTTTTCCAGATCTAAATACAGAGAGTGAGGGCAAACAAAGGGAAAACCAGTTGTCTCCAGGAGATTACAGAGATTACAGATTTGGATCTGGGGACATTAACTGACTGGCTGATGGGATTCCCCACCCCCACATGTACCAGACCCGAGGGCTGAAAGTTTCCCATGGTCTGGTCTAAAACGCAATCCTATGCAAGTTTAGACAGAAAAAGGCCTACCACTTCCAGCATTCTCCAGCCACCACGTTCTTAAGAGTTCATAACTGTTACTTCCGAAAGGGCGCAAGAGGTACCTTGAGAGAAAACCTTCTGACTGCATACTACCTCCCTTATCCTCTGAGAAAAAGGTGATGCACAGGGAGAAAGTGACAGATATGCACACAGAGTGGCTTGTTAAAAACACACACACACACAAATCAAGGGCTTATTCAAAGCAGAAAAAAGGAGCTACTTGAATCAATTAGAGTATATGCATCTGCTAGGAAGCAGGGCTTCTCTCTCTTAATTTCACTCTGCAGAATGAGTTTTTGTTCCATTGCAAGAATTCTTCCACTCCTTGCCTCTTACCATCCTTGAAATCCATTCTTTTTTGGCAAGCTCCTCAAAAGTTGCTCTTGCCTTTTGCAGATCCACTGCTATATCATCATAACGCTCCAGAGAAGATCTAGAAAAAAGGACCTCATGTGACAATTTGTAAGAGAACGGAAATGTTTCATTTGCCAACAAGATTGTACACAAATTCTCCTGCACTTTTCGCATAGTTCTATATAGCATCATGCAGACTACTCACCTAGGTCTTAAAAAACTTGCTGTTAAGCAAGGAGGGGAAGAAAATATTGCTTTCACTTCTCTGTAAAAAAGAAAAGAAACACCACCATGAAACAACAGTACATCTGTACTGTATATGCATATTGGATTTTCTCCTGATATATGCTTGATATTGGGGGGGGAGGGGGGGCATAATTTCACTTCTATACCTTCCAATAGCCAAAGCCCTATTTCTGTATCACCCAGTGATAACAATTAAGAATAATTTTAGAATATATTTTCAATGATTTTTAAAGCCATAGTAATTACAGTGGTAATGCCTGCTTTAAGAGAAACAGGATGTGCACTAGAACAGAGGAGAGCAACATACAGCTGGTGAACATCTGGTGCACACAGGTACCCTTTCTGGCCCATGCTAGGTTGGGTACCCCTATGCTCTGCCTTCTCTAAGTTCACACCCATGGAATGGAACTCCCAGGCTATCTTCAGTGGTTGATGGGAGGTGAAACCCCCATGTTACCACTGATCTGAGAATGTTGGGGTTCTGCAGACTTGGCAGGCAGCTGCAGCGGTTCCCATGCCTCTGTCTGCGCAGGTGGGTGGGCGCACAACTGCTAAGAAGCCACACACGATTGGAGGTCAGGGAAAAGGGGACACGACTGCCTGGAGAACCATGGAGGGCCAGATTAGACCCTGTCTAATCTAAACTCAAGTCTGAGGATCGGCATACTTGGCTTAGGCTCTTCCCTACCCCCACTCCCACCCAAGGAAAAATAGGAGCGAATACAAACTGCAAGCTTTCTGCCTTTCGATGGATTTCACTGTCTGTTACTGACATCCACTTCTCAATGCACGCCCTGTCCATATGCCTAATCTTTGGCAAGTCTTCCGCAACAGTGGATTCGTTTGCAGCGGCAGAAGTCTTTAAAACAGAAGACGACACAACACCACCTTAACATAAACTGATTATTCATGACAAAACCCAATAGAGGGCAAAGAACCCAGGCTGAGGATAAACTAACATACACTAACAACTGAGGAGGCTAACTGTTAACAAGTGAAAACTAAGCTTGATATAGTATGCTTGGGACCACCATGGTTGACTTGTCTAAACTGTGCTGTCAATGCAACTGAGAAATTGAGTCACAGCAACAATAGTTATTTCAGGGAGGGAAACAGCTCTTATTTTGACAACTTGGCATTCACTGGTTTATCTGTCTCACCAAGAGCTACATATGAACGCATCTTCAAATATGTTTTCAATAATCCCCCTGCAACCTTGTAAGGTAGATCAGATATTCTTCCTATAGCAAATGTGAGGGGGGGGGGGGGGGGAAGAAAAAAGCCTGAAGGTTGCATGTTTGTGTGTTCTTGAGCAGCTCAAAATTTGAACTCCTGGCATGGGATCGTGACTTGTTTGTGTGAGCCAGTGCACGTTGGTTAGAAGATCTGCTTTCTAGTTCCACAAGGCCACGAAACTCACTGGGTGACTTGGGCCAGTCACTGACTCTCAGCCCAATCTACCTCCCAGGGTTATTATTGTGAGAATTATGCTAGCTGCTTTAGGCTGCATAATTTCCTTCCAGGAAAAGAACAGGATATAAATATATTAAATCACACTATTATTTTTGACCTTCCAGGGCCTTCTCGGTTGTAGCACCCCATCTACACAATCGACTTCCCAGAGAAATCAATCAATCAAGCGCCATCTTTATGCATATTCTGGCACCAGACTAAGACGTTTTTATTCAAATAGCATTTTAAGTCTTTATGATTTTAATTGGAATTTAATTTTAATTATATTTTAATGTAAAATTTAGTTACTTCATTTGAGATAGTTCCAATCTGTTAAACTATTTGGTGCTCCTATGTTGTTATATTATTGCTTTTCTGGTTTTAATTGTTTAAACTGTATGCATTTAAGATTTTTATGTTGTTGGTTTTATCATGTAAACTGTCTAGAGAGCCATGTGGCTATGAGATGGTATACAAAAGTGTTAAAATAATACATAAATTTCCAATCCAGCCAATAGTGAATAGTCTCAAACTACAAATAGTTGAAAGTCTAAAATGACACAGAACAGTTAAAAGTATAATACAAATATTTGAAAGAATAAAATACAATATGATGCCAAACAACCAAAAGTATCAATTAAACAGCCATTAAACAAATCTGAATTCAGTCTCTAAAATGCATGGAGGAAAAATTATGTCATTAGGTATCAGACACACCTCATTCATTAGTGAGGTACCACAACTGAGAAGACCCCCTGCAAAAGATCTAAGCACCCTACAACATGAATTAGTGTTCTGCTCATGCAGGGTATCCCCCAAAGCCAACCATTTAGAGAAGAGATGAACAATCTACCGGAAGAGTGCTGGCAAAGCTGACCCATGGTCCTGCAAAAATCTGTTTTACTCGGATGCCGAAAAGATCTGCAAAGATTCAAAACTTGGTTAATCCTCAATCCTTAGTTCACATTAAGTATGATATTTGTATCATTTTCCCCATCCAATATCCCTGAATCCTCTCATTCCCCCATGCAACTTCACTGGGATAGTTTTAAGATGTCCAGTAAGACTCTACATGCAACTTGCATCTTCTAAGTTTACTGCTTCTAATTAACCCTTTAAGATGATTTACACTACAGCAAATCTCTGTTCTGTACTCAGCTGTGTGTACTTCACACAAAAGGCAAACAGGCTAATCTGACCTCTGCACTAAGAAAATTAGAATTCTGTGATCTGTATAAATTAGGCAGACTGAACAATAAACGAGATTTATACTGCAATTTCACATTAGCTTGATCCCAGCTGTATTGGTCAGGTTTTGCAGGGCACTAATGCTCCACTCTGAATTGCTGCAAATCTTACCCAGACTCCTGAGTTCTCACATTTCCGTAGGTTTTGCCTGCAAGCTTTTAACATGTCTTCACAGCCACAGGGACTAGAAACTTGGTATTAAAATGCTTGGAAACTAGCTCCCTTCTTTTGGACTTTTGGACATAGAAACTGCAACTTTAAAGGGAGAACTCAGCAGAACCATTCATAGCTCCAGCGGCTGGTGGCTGCCAAGTTGTTTCTCCATAATTAACATGGGAACATCAGAGCCCTGCAGGATCAGACCAAAGACCTGTCTAGTCCAGTATTTCACACAGTTGCCAATCAATGGCCCCTGGGATGTCCACAAGTAGGATACAAGCATAACAAGCCCATCACCCTGCTCTTATTCCCCAGCCGCTAGTACTGAGAGGAATGCTGCTCGGATAAAAGAGTATAAAGCCATCCTGAATAGTAGCCACTTGCTGCATTTTAGAACCTTGCCCAAGGAGCCTTCTAGAGAAATGGCAGCCCCCTCTCCCCAGAAAGATGGCTTTGGTTACTACCTATTCTCCCCACTACAATCCCTAGAATAGAAAATTCCCAAACAAAGGCAAAAGTGGAATTTTGATGGCTGGAGGCTGAGCTGAACTGAAAGAACCTCTGGTGGTTCTCCCCCTACTCCCAAAGAACCACCCACATTTTGCATATTCTTAAAACCTCAAAAGGTTCGTTTTGAGTGAAGCTACCCGAGCCAGTTCAGTGCTTAGCTTTGACTGGATTGTTATTATGGCTTTGTATTCCGTTTCCGAGTGCAGGGAGGGGTGTTTTAAAGAAGTACCATTAGGGGAAACCAGATCACTGATGTTAAATCTTGGTGCTTCATCCTGTTTCCTGTCAGATGTTCCACTTCTCAGAGGTCCACATCCAAAGGACATAAGTTGGCCAGAAGCAGATACGTGAACAAGTGTGTGGTAACTGTTGGAGAAGAACAGCGAAAGGTTCTGTATATCTGATGCCTGAGTCTGTACAATAGAGCTGGCTAGACCATTAGGTGTTACCCAGATGTTTTCAACCACAAGTCCATGCAAATTGGCGACACTGGCTAGATCTGTGGAGAGCTGCAGCCCAACATATCTGGAAGCCTGAAGGATGCTTAGTCCTGCCCTGTGGAATAACACCGGAATAGCTGAATGGGCATGCTAGCAGTAGCAGCCCCTTTTTCTGACTAGGTTACCAGAGGGTTGTACATTAAGTCACTGTCGTACCACCAAACATGCTCACGGTGAGATGCAAGACTCAAAGCAAACACTCTGACATGGCAGGACTTTGCATATATGAGAAAAGTCAACCCTTTTTCATACCAAGGGCCAAATTCAGTGATAAAGTTGCACCTGGGAGCTGTATTCCAACGATAGAGGTTGTGGGGAGGGCAGGAGTGCTAGAAAAACAGGCAGGGCCAAAAATACCAGCATTTTTTCAGCTTAAGCCACAGAGGGTAAAATTGGAACATCATTAACAGGCACCTGATGGAATGGATGGCACTAAATCAACAATGGTTGTTGCAGCATCCATGATGTATGATTTAAGTCGTACATTATGCAGAAGAGGAGGGAGGAGGAGGAGAAACAAATGAGGAGGAAAGCTCTGGTACGTACCTTCCACATGCCAGATGGGAAACAGGACCGTCAATGCCGTCAACCCTCTGAGGGCCAGCCTTTCGGGCTGAAGAGCTGTGTCCCAGCTGTCCAGCACTGTTGTCTCCAAAAGTGAAAACACTGCCATTCTGTGCGAGGGTACAGCAAACAAGTGCTTCAGCAGGATGCAGCATTAGTAATTTCCACTGCATCTTTCCAGTTCAATTACTACATGTAGTAATTATTTATGACTCAATAAATAATGAGTAAGTGCTTGCCTATCAGGCATACTCACAAGATGGCATTCCAGACTTAGGCCAAATTATTAGATTGTGGCACTGGCCTCTTCTTACTCCCATCAACCACAATATAACCTTGATCGATCGCTAGCAATGCCAACACCAGTTTATGCTGAGAAAGAGTATTTTACTAATTTGCAGAGTTAGGCATGGTGTGACCCTAAAACTGGCATAAATGTAACCCACATAACTAGAAAGCTCACACATGTGCTTTGCTGTAAACAGAGGGTGGGCACTTGGCCCAATCCCTCTTCCTGGGCCAGGCTTCACTCTTCCTCTGCCCTGACTGATGGGTGCCTTGCGGATTGACTGCTGCTGCTCCCGAGCTACTCAACAGGCCAATCCGTCTCCTTGGCAGGCACACCTAGATCTTGCATATCTTTTCTTTGGGATTCCAGAACTTTTGAACCCATGCAGGGGGCATAATAACTACCCTAATACTGCCCTCAGTTGCCCAAAATGTGTGGTCTTGGCGCAAAGGCTGCTCATGCTATTCAGACAGTTCTCATGGCAAGACACTTACCATTAGAGAAGCAGCATGGAACCATGACCACCTGCAAGGACTGGGATTATGACACTTCAAACATCCCTTTCACACCTAATATTTTGACCCCCTGCGATATGAACTGCTTACTGGATCATTGAGAGGTCATTTAGAGCGTACCTGGGTGAGAACAGCAGTATGCTCATCTCCACAGCTAACAAAGGTCACATCAAGTCTTCTCAGAGCGCCAACTGAGTGTGGCTTGAAGACTTTCTCTGTTGGCGAAGCATATCAGATTATAATGCGCAACCGATGAAGCCTTCCAGACAGTTCACAACCATTTATGCACACACAGAAATACAATACAATGCTGCATTGACAGGCCTGAGATGCAGATGGTAGATATCCATGGGAAGAGCACCAGGACTGGGGGGATGGAGACCTTGGCATTGATGCAGGAGGGCCAGGGGCAAATCTGGAACGAACAAGAGTCAGCTAGCCAGCAAGCCCTGGCAGGTCCAAAGGACAAAGGCAGAAGCAGGAATAAGCAAGGTCAGATGCCAACAAGGCAGAGCTGGGCCAGAAGGCAGATATGGACAAGGCACAGCAAGGCAAAGGCAAGGATCAGGTACCTGGCAAGGTAGAGCTGGAGCTGAGGCAAGACCAAAGTTAGCAGCAGGCCAAAGTCAAGCACGGAGCAAAACTGGAGGATGGTTACCTGGAGGAGCGCTTACATCCATATACGCCCGGCCGCCCCTTGAGATCTGCGGGAGAGGCCCTTCTCCGGGAACCCTCCATGAAAGAAATTAGGAGGGTAGGTACTCAGAGGAGGGCTTTCTCTGCGGTGGCGCCCAATCTATGGAATGTGCTCCCCAGAGAGGTCCGCCTGGCGCCGTCGTTATTTGTTTTTCGGCGCCAGGCGAAGACCTTTTTATTTAAACGTCATTTTAATTGTTAAAAATATTTGCTTATTTATCTGGCCAGGGCGACTTCTTTTATATTGTTATTTATTTTATATTGTTAATTTTATATTGTTATTTTTGTATTTTATTGTGTTGTAAGCCGCCCCGAGGCTTCGGCAAGGGGCGGCATAGAAATGTTTTAATAAATAAACAAATAAATAAATAAATAAATCAGGCACACCATCTGGCCAGCGCAAAGGTCCATATGTGGTGTGGCAAAGCTGACCAGCCCAGGGAAACCTTTTGCAGAGCCTTCCGGAGCTCCCAGCCACCAGTTTCACTGGTGTGCTTCGGGTCCTCCAGGCTCTTACAGGAGGAAACGTGTTGGTCATCCCCCGGACGCGGCAGGGACTGTGCCATGGCTTCAGATCCTGGCAAGCATAACCCTTTCCCCATTTTCAAACTTTTAAAACAACTTAGAAGCTGAAAGAATTTCAGTACAAACGGGATGTATCAAGAACACTGGCACAAATGCTTTAACCTGGAGTCCAGCACTGAGCAGGGGCTGGACCCGATGGCCTTCTTGGCCCCTTCCAGCTCTGTTCTGCTAAGATCCTTCCTCAAAAGACTGGGGGGGGGGGGGCAGTCTTAACCTGGCACCCAAAGAGTGACAGAGCTGGTGGCAGATGGGCCTTGTTGGGGAGATTATTCCATAACTGGGCACAAACTATAAAATCCAATTTTGCCTATTTAAATTAAGTGCTTCTCAGCGGTTTACAGGGCCGAGCCTGTTCTGGCTTCTGGAAAAAAATCAAACCTAGCTCTCAAAACAATCTCTACTTCTGTTTCCCTCTTAAGTATGTAATACTCTCATGGGATAAGTGTTTCCAAAGCCATTATTTAACCCTCTAGATCAGTTGGAGTACAACTCCCATCCCCCCAGCCAGTAGCCTGGGCCTCTATCTCAGGCTGATGGGGGTTGGAGCCCAACTTGTCTGAGAGTGCAGCATGGAGATGGCTAATCTAACCCACGCGGGGAGGCAATCAAGGGGCACTCACCACACCTGCGTGGGCGAATTTGAAAGCAGACTTACCTTTTGGGTTAGTTTGGCTCAAGCCCAGCTGCCCCGCATGGTTCCGTCCCCATGCATACACAACTCCGCTAAGCGACAGGGCAAAACTGTGTGTCCCGCCAGCAGCCACCTGAGCTAGCGGGATGCCATCAAGCGTGGAAACTTGCTGCGGCTTTTCCCGGGAAGAGATATCTTCTCCCAGCCCCAGCTGGCCATGGGTGTTCTGCCCCCATGAAAAAACTCTGCCATCTTCAATTGAAAAGGAAGCAAAGGGGGGGGGAAGGGGGGGGAATAGAGTACATTAAACATCCTTCTGATCCTTTAAAACAGTGGTAGAGAACCACTTTCAACCTGAAGGTCAAAGTCAGGCTTGGAGAACATTTTGTGCTCTGCTTTCTCGTGCAAATGGATCAAACAGACCAGGGCCAAAGATATCGAAATGTGTTCCAGCACTCTGGACTTCCTACAGCGAGAGCACCCTTTCCATGTCGATGTATCAGCTGAGGCACCTGTACTTTCCCCGGTCCCCTTAAGGTCACAGAGGATTTCATAGCCTGTTCTAGAACATCCGTACATGTATTTATTTATGTTTTGTATCCTGCCCTTTACAGTGTCTCTGGCAAAGGCCAGCCTCTTGGACTGCAGTGTGTACCCATATTTTCCCATACCTATGAGTTGCAGGACTGCACCGGCTGTTGCAGGCAAGCAGGGCTTCAGTGAAGCTTGCCTGCCACCCACGAGCCTGATCACCTGCGAGTCTCAGGGAAAGACCACAATTCAATGCATGGGGCACCAGGTTCAATTCCTGACAACTCCAGGTCGGGTCCGGAAGGACTCCAGTGCAGGAGACTCTGCCCTAAAGGCAAGTGTCACATGTGCAATTGTGTACACCTTCTGTCATGTCTCCCCTTCCATGCCTTTTTCCCCCAGGCTACACTTTTTTCTAATAAAAAGTATTGGACTTTAACTCCCAGAAGCCTCTGCCAATGGTCTGGAATACTGGGAAATAAAATACAAAACGCCTACTTTCTGCTTAATCCTGCTGTAGATAATTCTAAACAAGAACAAAACACATCTGGAGAACCTTATGTCCCTCTTCCCCCCCCCCGCCCCCACAAGTCAACAGGAAAATTATTTGTGCAGGCCTAAAACAACTGCTGTGCCAGCATACAAAACTAACCCACTTGTTCAGGGGCAGGAAATACATGGCCTTCCAGATGTTGAATTACATCATCTCTTTCCATGGGCAAGGGCATATGGGAATCGGAGTCCAACATCTGGGGGTCAGGTCCCCTAGCCTTGGTTTTCATTAAGCCATATAACAGGGTAAATATTTTTTGCAGAGAGAAGAACTGAAACTTCTTATTACCTTCTGATAGTGCTACTGTGTGGTTGTGTCCACAAGCGATCTGTATTATTCTCGATAAATCATTTATTTTCCTAAAAAATAAGAAAGGATAAGCAAAAATTTAGGATTTTACAGCTAGCAGAATCCATCAGCATTCCAGATACAAAACAATTTTTATCAAATAAACATTCTTAGGGTTGTACTCTTAATGCACTGAGAGTACATTTAAAATGACAATTTGGCTTTTGATAGATAAAAAGAAAGACTTTTCCAATTGACCAGTTATATCTGGGGTCAAGTGTTAAAGCAATAACAAAAGCATACTTTATTAAGCTTGCTTATGATTAAATATTCCATTTTTAAAGCTGTTATTGAAAATCAATGCATTTAAATCTGTAACCCCAATTTAATGTTATGCAAAGTTTCTGTAAAAGTGAATAATTTACAGAATAATCCTACCCTTTGACTTTTATCCTTTAACACAAGGATGAGTGCCCAGTAAAATAAGGACATTCAGCAGAGCAATTTAACAGAGTAATAACCATTTAAAAAGAAAGAGTAGTTGTTAAGGGCAGCTGTACTAAATAGATAAGAAGGGATGCACCCATTTAAAACCACTAGGTGGTGGTGAAGGAAAAGGCAATGGGAGAGACACTGAAACATCTTCCATTATAAACAAACATATCCTTGTGGGATTCTGGTGCCCGACGCAAGACCTGGTGGAATGCCCCCAAAACTGGTACTAGATGCTACCAAAGAGAGTTAAACAAACCTAGTCTCCTCAGTCTCCAAGTGCTTGGGAATGGGTCTTTTATGCCTTCTAGGGTCTCTTATGCTGGGCTGTTTTGCATGCCCTCGTGTCCTTAGGGAAGCACAGCTCGGTTACAGGTTTTGCTCAGCACATCGTGTGCACCCTGGTCTTTGAATCAGTATCAGCAAGACCAATGAGGTTGTATGTCCCTTTGTAAGCCTTCCCACTTTCACCCCAAAGCACAGCATTTGCAGTTTGGGGGGAAAGATTTATTGGTACAAAATGGGGAAAGGTGGGTCAGATGCAGAGCACAAGGCAGTAAACGATTATATTTATTAAATTTCTAATCCACTCCATTAGCCCTAATTTAAAGTGGCAAATCAGCAGTAAAGGGCAAATAAAACAGAAAATACAATCTAGTTAATACAGCCCTGCACAAGCTGCCTCCCTCATTTACTGAAGATGCACAAATTCCTGATTCAGGTTTTTCCTTCCACCCTTTGAGAAACCTACAAACTAGCTCCCATACCGGAAAAAATCCTTGGTGCAGTCTCCTCTGGGGCCTGCCTCTCAAGGTTTCCTACTTTGTGGGAGGGATGTTCTTAACCCCTGTACTTAAGACAGAAAGACCCCCAACTTCCTTTCCCATTGAAGTATTTCTCTTTCAGTTCTCCTCCCCTTGCCTAGGTGGAGATTCTGAGGAATCTCTTGGTTTTCCGATCATGGCTCATCGTCAGCTCTGAGATGGCTTTTCAAGAATTCTTCATTGTTTAGCCACTGGGGCAGTTGACTATTCAGTAGGTTTGCTAAGTGGAGGCGTTTGCCCTTGACCTCAGTCAGAGCATCAGCACTGCAATTCCAGCATTCTCAAGCCTGGACTTTAGCTCTAGCAGAGACCTGCAACTGATTACAGAAGAAAAGCCTCTTTCCCTTGACGGTGCATAGGGTGCCACTAGTATAGTCTGGCTGAGTAGGCTATTCAAGCTGGCCATAACATCCCTTGTAAAACAGGTGTGCAGAACCTCTTCCTACTTTGCCTTCAGCTCCCACCACTGCTGGCATGCATCCCTTAGGAGCTTCTCTGAAATGGCATTGGCCCTTGTGCTGAAAGGGGTTAATCTTCCCTGGCTTGGACTGAAAGGTCCACATGTCCTCTATGATTCCATATGCTATGTTCTTCTATGATTCCACCAGTTCCATCTAACATGGAAGCTCCCTAATAGGAAGATGGTAAATATAAGTGGGGTGTTATGTCCTTGGGGTTCCTCATCGACTGCAGCTTTTATTTTGAGTTTTATGGGAACTTTCCGTGGTAGGATTTGGACTCTCCATTCACCCATATGTTTAGGTATTACACAACTCTAGCTTAACCGTTGGAATTCATTGCCACTTACTTTGGAATGAAACTTGCTTTTAATTCTCCAGTGCCCAGCTGCCCGGAAGCACCAGCTCCCCATGCAAAAACATTTCCACTGTTGCTAAGGGCCACTGAATGTTCCTTCCCACAACTTATGTGGACGATTACTGTTGTTTCCAGTGCTTGGATTTGTTCTTTCAGAGAGGAGACAAAGGAAAAAGGTCATAGATTTGTATATCTGTACAGTCATCAAAAGTACATGTTTTATTTAAATAAAAAATTTCAACCTAAAAAAAAAAATTCAACCTACGTTTGCTGCTATGCAATGTATGAATTAATATAGGATTCGGTTGCTAATTAAGAAACACAACTGCCTTAAAGCACATACAAAACATGTTTCTAGCCTTCACAGGAGAAAACTCCATGCAAGCAGGTGACCTGAATTTCAACACGGGTATCTGAATTGTATCCTCCCAAGGCAACTATGCCATCCTAGCATCCTTTAAACAGGGGTGCAGAAAACCAGGACTGGAGACTCCTTCCCTTTTCCCTAATCTCCAATGGTTGAGGGTTTTCCCACTTTTGGGAAGTTCCTCACCCACCCCATTCTGAAAGGCACCAATGCATTTCCTAAGGCTTAATCACAGACAGTGAGAGCTGTAAAGTAAATGACTAATCTTTCCCCTCCGGCTTTACAATTTTGCACGAGAAACAAAAGGGTCCCAGGAAATCGAAAGTTTGCGGGCGAGAGACGCTCTCAATCAGAAGGAAAGGAAACAGAAAGTGTTTGCGTGACTCCTGTTTGGAAGCTGATAGCCGCCAGGGTGGAAACAGAAACTCTCCCACTGAAATCCAGCCTGCTCTTTCAGATCATGGATCCTCGCCGTTTTTCTGAACCTTCCTCGCTCTTGCAAGCTTTCGCCGTAGCGGACCTGCACCAGCACCTTGATCGTTTCCGTCGCCCTTTTCCCGAAGCTGCAACATTCTTGTTTTTGCCGGGGCTGACTCTCCCGGTGCGAATTTATTTACCCATCCCCTACCTCTCCGAGAGACTTCTGCGAACATCTTCCCATGTATATAGTTTTCCTGTTATTACGGACTCTCCTCTCCATTCACACGTTTCTATAATTACTTTTCTTCCTACTCGGAAGAAGAAGATGGAGACTGTTCTTGAGTTATCTTTACTGAGACAGTGTAAAGAGCGGAATACAAAGTTTAAATAAAGAAATTAATAAAATACTATCATGAGGCGGGGTGGCATCATTACTTAGGAGATTACGCCAAGCCCGAGTTCAGACGCGTCCGGGCTGGGCGAGCGTCTCTCTGCGACGCCTTCGTCAAGAATGATTACTTTCCGAAGCGAGGGCTGCTCCGTTAACTTCTCCTGACACGTAGGTCTGCCCCTTCCTCCCACTTCCCTGCTTGGGAGATGTTAGGGATACTGACAGAAGGGAGGAGATCGCCGAAGTGGAGGATGGAGGAGGAACGCTCCAACACGCTCGCTCCCGTGCCCGTCCATTCAGACGTTCGCTCTGCCCTACCTGGCACGTAGCAGCGCCCCCGTCCTGACGGGAGCTTCCTTCCCAGCTGCCCCTGACCGTTCTCCCCGCAAGAAGCCACGCTGCCGTCGGCGTAGAGCAGCAGCGTGTGCCGCTCCCCGCAAGCCACTCGCACCACGTCTTGGCCCGAGGTCTGGGGGCCCCGGCCGAAGCGAACCGGCTCGGAGGCGCCTTCCTCGCCCAGCCCCAGCTGGCCGGCAGAGCCGTCCCCGCAGCAGTACAGCATCTCGCCGCTCCTTGCAGCCCCAGCGAGCGGCCGCCCGGGCGCCCCGCGCAGCTTTAAAGAGATAGCCCCGCCCCCTTCGCCAGCCCCGCCCCCAGAGGGCGGAGAAGGCTTTTCCCGCGGGCAGCAGCGGCGCGGCTGGCCCTCTTGCAGCGAGTGGCTCTAGCCCGTCTCTCCAGGCAGCCTTCGGGTATTATCTTGGTGGTGGAGCGCCGCACTCCCCTCCCCGCAGCTTTCCTGTGCTTTGCAACTGCTTCCGCGTTCCTCATGAACACACCATCTCTTTTCATTTCATTTATTCCAGGTGTGTGCTGCTCCATAGCCCATAGGGCTCTCTGGGCAGCTTGCAATAGAACAAAAAAAAAAAAAAGCATATTTCAAACCAATTCAATAATACATTAGAGCAATTCAATCAAGCAATACAATATTTAACTGTTAGCAGACAGCAACAGGAAAAGCAATTTGCTAGACCTGTTTTTCCCTCTTTCCAAAGAAATTTCTCAGCATGTGCAGTGTCACGTTTTAAAATCACTTAAAAGCACCACCAGCACCTCAGGGATAAAACGGAGTTTGCTGCTGCCATCCTCAGGCTAAATCCGTTAACCTGGGCATGTGTGCCTGAAACGCAGCAAGGAGGGCTGGGCACTTGCTGATGATGCCCAAAGCCAGCAGGGCCCACTGACAGGAGTAGCTTCACTGGTACAATTCCTTGCTCTGGGTTAGAGAACAGTGGCCATGAGCCCGGCCTGCTGCACAAAGTTGTTGCCATGAGGGTAAAACAGTGAGGAGGGCTGGACATCAGGAAAAGCCTCCTCAGCGTCAGAGCAATACAACAGAGGAACCAGCGGCCTGGAGAGGTGGTGGGCTCCCCCACAGCGGAGACATTCAGAAAGAAACTGGAAGCCATCTGAGTGGAGCTACCCTTGAAGACGGTCCGGATACTTCAATTGGTTCAAAATAGAGCTGCCAGGCTGCTGACGGGGACTGGGCATTGTGTTCACATGACTCCAGTCCTCCGTCAGCTTCACTGGCTTCCCACTGAAGTCCAGGCCCAATTCAAGGTGTTGGTTATGACCTATAAAGCCCTCAACGGCTTGGGACCTGGATATCTAAAGGAACGCTTGCGTCCATATATGCCCTCCCACCCCTTGGGATCAGCAACAGATGCCCTTCTCCGGGAACCCTCCGTGAAAGAAATTAGGAGGGTGGGTACTCGGAGGAGGGCTTTCTCTGCGGTGGCGCCCAATCTATGGAATGCGCTCCCCAGAGAGGTCTGCCTGGCGCCGTCGTTATTTGTTTTTTGGCGCCAAGCGAAGACCTTTTTATTTAAACGTCATTTTAATTGTTAATATTATTTGCTTATTTTATCTGGCCAGGGTGACTTATTTTATATTGTTAATTTGTTGTATATTTGAATGTTTTATATCTTAATTTTATGTTGTGAGCCGCCCCGAGGCTTCGGCGAATGGGGCGGCATAGCAATGTTTAAAATAAATAAATAAATAAAAAAAATGGCATCACTTGGTGACCTGCAACTGAAGGGGGTTGGACTTGATGGCCTTCATGGCCCCTTCCAACTCCACTGTTCTATAAGCAGGAAAGGAACAAAAGCAGGATACAAACGTAATAAAGGGGAAGCAAGAATTGCCAGGGCCGACTTGTTCACTGCCTGAGCTTTTCAACACAAGCTGGGGCAAAAGATTTAGAGGACCAAAATCGATAATCAGCCCTTGCTCTCAGCCCATGTTCCAGTGGACTCTTGTGAGCCTCTGAGTTTTGAGGGTTGTGGGGCAGCTGCACTAGATCAAACTGTCCATAATGGCTACTTGCTCAGTAGCACGGATCTGCCCCAAAGAGTGAAAAAGCTATTTGGAAATTATTTTTATTGTTCATTCATTTCATTTCTATTCCATCCATTAGCCAAATCTCTCTGGGAAAGTTTGTAGTAGTTCATAAAAACAATACATTAAAATATCATAAAATGTTTAACAAATTAAAAACAGCTAAAACATATGAAGAGTAGACCTGTAAAACATCTGGGATGGGTAATCCCCACAAGCATGTCAGTATTATTGCAGTTCATTTATACTCCATCTTTCTTCTTGCAGAGAACCCAAGAAAGCTTACAAGGTTTTCCTCCTCTGTTTTATCCTCGCAACAACCCTGTGAGGTAAGTTAGGTTGAGAGTTCAAAGTCGGGGGGGGGGGGGGGGGGGGGGGGGGAACAAGCTGTTGTATTTTTGCCTGCCGTAACTAGAAGAGCATTGAAGGGTTTTGCTGTTGTTACTGAAGATGCAAGGCAGTATTTTTTGTTTGCACACCCAACCAGTTTTCAGGGTCACAGTTTGTTTATTTATATTGCGATTTATATCCTGCCTTTTTCCTACAAAGGGCTCAAGGCAGCTTACATCATCTCTCCTCCTCCATCTTATCCCCACAACAACAACCCTGTGAGGTAGGTTGGGCTGAGAGTCTGTGACTGGCCCAAAGTCACCCAGTTGGCTCCATGGCCGAGCGGGGACTCGAACCCGGATCGCCTGAGTCCCAGTCCCATGCTCTTAACCACTACGCCACGCTGGCTCTCAGTTTAAGAACAGCTTCGGCGTGGCACCTCTAATTCTTGTTCTAGGACATAATGAGACATACAGGCAGATGCACTGGCCTTGAAGGAGGAGCTGAGAGACAAGGGGAAGAGCTGCCTTGTGCCAGGTTAGCTGATCTCAGCTGAGTGGTGGCATAGGGCAGACAGAAACTTACTGAAACATTGCTGGGTCATTCACAGTAGTTCACTAAAGGCTTCCAATTCCCACTTATACTCTGAATTACTGGTACCAAAAAAGCCACTTCTGAATCTGTAGTAATTGATCAATCACAAAGTGCCCAAGAGTGTTCAAGTTCTCCAGATGTGTCCAGCTCAAAAGGTTGCACGCCTTTGTGACATTCTGGTTACTGCTAATAATAGGATTACCTGTACTTGGTTTTCTGACGGACCAGCAAGGATCTCTTTGCCTTTTTTTCAATGTGTGAGTAACCATACTGTAACTTTTCCCCAACCTGATTCTCGCAAGTATATTAGACTGGAAGTTTCAGCATTCCTAGCCAGGATGATGAGCAATGTATTTCTTTGCATGATGGGAATTGCATTCCAACATTTCAGAAAGGCACCAGCTTGGGATTTCTTGTCTGGGGGAGTAGCTATTTTGCTGCTGGCTCTGGATAATGGTGTTTTGGATACTTTAAGAAGCAGCAGACTAAAAACCTAGGATGCATCTGGGCCTGATCTAAAGCCAGGCTCAGGAAAGATTCCTGCAGCACACTCTACCTGTGCTTGCTCAGAGGGTTGGGCCAGTAACTGGGGCTAATACAGACTATAACAGCCCAGCTGTTGCTAGGGATGGCCTCTTTTCAGCTTGCAAATCCTTCATGAGGGAGCATCACTCTCCACTAATTTACTACTAGCCAGGTTTAAAGTTCTGCTATTAGGATACAAAGCCCTTAACAACCTGGGGCCAGGATGTCCCCAAAAAAGGACCTTTCGCCTTACCACCCTGCCCAGTTGCTGGGGTCATCAAATGATACAGGGTGATCTCTTGGATCCCCTGTACAGGAGCAGAAAGAGCCAATAACCAGCCAGGTGTCACAGGGCTGGAAGCAAAGGGAAGGATCAGCTACCTGGCAAAGCAGGTTCAAGAACAGGCAGGAAGAAAGGCATGGCTGAAGGCAAAGCTAAATGCGCAGTCAGGAGCCTCTGTGAAAGCAGGCAAGCCTCTTAGAGAGCCATCAGAGCTCCCAGCTGTGCTGCATGACGGCAAGGCTCCAGTCCTCGCAGGTGTGCTCTTGGTCCGGCAGGCACTCGTAGGGTGACTCCTGCTGCTCATCACAAGGGGAGCTGTGTCACGGGGTCAGATCTTGACAGGTGCAAACAGCGGTGGGATGGCCTGTATTGTCATTCCCTTCGCAAAACTTCCAACACAAGAATTTCCCCATCCCTGCCCCCGCAGGCGGCCTCTGTCAATGTACCCCTATTTGTATTCGGTAAACTAAACGTACAGAACTGTAAAGTCACATGGGTCCAGTAGAGGGCAGTGTACTTCCAACCAATGCGTTTATAGTAGTTACGCAGGAGGACGTGATTTGTATATTCAGATCCAGATCACAGAGCAGAGAGAAAAGCTGTCATCCTCCCAGGCCACTCAGCGTTGAAATTCAGCTCCGGCCAGGCTACCCAGTGCAGGCTCCATGATTTGAGGGGCTCTTGTGCAGGGCTCGGCCATTATTCGCTCGCTCGCTCCCTCCCTCCCTCCCTCCCTCGGTGAGTCTCCCCTCTCACTGCCACTGAGAAAACAAATTGATTCTTTCCGAGAGGTTTCATCAAATGCATGAAGGGTTAACCTCAGATTTGCGGATTTATGCGCGTATGCTGCGGAAGGGGATATGTGCTGTATTGCCAGAGAGAATCCTCACGGTCAGTCCTTTTTGGCATTTCACTTGTTCAGAAAACGTGTGAGCACGTCAGAGAAAATTCTGGCACAGGAGATGAATGCAACAGCACCTCCCCATTCAAGTTCCCCAACAGCTGGTGTGCATAATTGTAGTGCCTCTATTCTTGGAGAGAGCATATAACAATGAGGACTAGTAGCCATTAATAGCTTTTTCCTACATATATTTGCCCAATCCCCCTTTCAAGCCATCCAATTTGGTGGCTATCACTACCTGTGGCAGTGAATTCCATAGTATATATAAACTATACTTGGTGTGAAGAAATCTTTCCTTTTATCTGTTCTGCCTCTTCCATCCTTCAGCTTCATGGGACAACCCTGGGCTTGCTATGGAAGAGGGGAAAATGTCTCCTTATCCACTTTCTCTATACCAGGGTTCCCAACCTGGGGAGCCCCCTCCCCCAGGGAGTGCAAGATAGCATTGCAGAGGGTGTGACGACGAGGAAGGCTGTGCTGCAATTCACCCAAATTGGTGAATTGTGACTTTTTTTGGCAAACTTTATTGCAATAATAATTATTATT